GCATGGTTTAGAAGACACACAATACTGTAGCTCACTTAGCCATCCTTTATTACAGGGCTTTTCAACCAGTGGTACGGGTACCACCTGTGGTACATTGGCACCTGGCAGGTGGTACGCGACCATCCTAGAAAAGTGGTAGCGGGGGAGGGGAATGAGCTGAACCGGTGGCAGCACCGCGCAAGCCTGAGCGAGAGATGGCTGGAGCTGCAGGGCTGTCAGGGCTCAGCGGAAGCGCCAGGATCAGGGCCAGGCTCCAGCTGGAGCTCAGTGCTGATCCTGGCGCTTCTGCTGATCCCAGAAGAAGCGCCACGATCAGCTGGAATGTTGCAGCATCTCCAGGGTCTTGTGATTTACATTCAGATGCTTGGCAACCGATTCATATTTATGACGGTCACAGTGTCCCAGGGTCATGTCAAGTGACCAAAACCTGCGGCAACCACCCAGCAGATGGGGGGAATAAAAAACAAACACACCCCCCACCCCCACTGCCAATCCTCAACAGAAATGCTCACAACAATGAAAACCTCGGACAGGAGGAAGAGCGCGGCCGGATGGGCAGGCAGATGTCTTGCTCTGCTGTGGCTTGGGGGGCACTTTTTTCAGTGCCATTGTAACTTCGAACAGTCACTAAGCGAACTGTTGTAAGTCGAGGACTACCTGTACTTTATCACTTTTTTCCTTTTTTTTTTTTTTTGGTCATCAAGTTTTTGACACCTTGCTAGGCGACTGGTGGTACTCGGATGTTGCCATATCCTAAAAGTGGTACAATGGGTGAAAAGATTGAAAAGCCCTGCTTTATTATGCACAAGTCAGACTCACCAGCTGTGTGGGCCAATCTGCATGCTGTTAACTTGATCTTTTAATATCTTGAAACAGCACAGTTGGGGAATTTTAGCGTTTTGTTTCTTTTCTTTTTTTTTGTTATTATTTTGAAAGCGATTTAAAAAAATAATTAAAAATACAGTCTTTTCCAGATGTCTCCCTCTTTTTTTTCCTTATGGGAATCTACTCAAGAATGTCAGGTGGAGGAGAATCCAGGGACTAAGGCTGCATAAAGTTGTAGGTCAAAAGGGTGATTGATAAACGAGTGGAAAACCAGGTGCGGCAGATGGACAGTTTGAAATCGCATCGAAGCTCAGCTTTAACTGACCACCGTTTCTCCTCTTCAGGCTCTTCCACACCCAGGGACCATGGAGACTTCTTGCAACTTCCTTCTGCACACAATGTACGATCAACACCTATCCTCCTGCACTTATTGGTGGTGGAAAGAATGTTCTGCCCTGCTCTCAAGGATGGTGACCTCTGGCAATGGGAGGACATCTCCAGCTGTATAATCACTGGGATGGGGGAAGGAAGATGTTACAAAAATGATGAATCTCCCCTCCCTAAGCCATAGCGTAGCACCAAAAACGGACAGCAAAAACAACTGGGAATTTCCAGGAGAGCAAGGATTTCTCCACCAAACACATCTGGAGGTTATTTTGGGGGAGTTCTTGAGCTACCTCAAATCCCACCATATTTGTGGGGTCCGTGGTGCTCTCTGGGCTTGGTGGTTTTCTTTCAGACATTTCATTACCAAACTAGGTGACATCACCCCACCGTTCAATGCTGGACCTACAAATATTCTCTTCTATGGATCCCACCACACTTGGAACTTGAGGACCTCCTGGCCTCTTCTCTGATTGGGCCTCTCTTTGAATTATAAAGGAGCTGAATTACATCAAGAGAAGAAGACTGATGATCCAGATATGTTTGGAAAGAAACATGAACTGCGTTTTGGACGCAGAGATAGCACTTATTAAAATATCTATATGGAATCATAAAAAAAATAAGCTTCTTGGCCATGAGAAAAAGAAGCTAATGTGATAAATGTCTTTATACAGCCAACCCAAGTTGTGCAATCATTGAAAATTGCTGCTTTTCCTAGAACTCTTCATCAGGTTACATACATCTGAATGATTCTTCCAGATAAACAGTTCTGAGAAAGGCATGAGTTTAGGGTTGTGTAACTTCAGCTGGCCTAATTGATTACTGCAAAAACCTTTCAGGGAGGTGTATATGTCTATCAAGGTTTGACACACACACCAAACACAGAAATATCATTGGACTATCTTACAGTTGGCGTAAATTGACCATATCTGTCTGGCTTTGTATAACACACTAAAATGAAAGCTGTATTTGTAAAACCCTGTTACCTGGATTCACACATCACAGCAAGCCATAATCCCGCAAGAGCAATATGTGAATCCAGTCAGGGGTTTATGAGCTGCAGAGAGAGTGACATTGGTATACATTTGTGTGAATGGAAATTTTAATCCACTTTAACACAGGAAGCATGATACTTGGAAAGGGTTGGTAGGATAGTAACCTTTTGCACTTCTGAGATACCTGTAAGGACTATCTAAGATACTAAGATATTTAAGGAGATTCAGAATTGAAAAATGGAAAATATGGCCAGAAACAGTAGCAAATTCAAATTCACTCCAACATGAGGTGATTTCTCCAAGCTAAAAACAAAAATCAATTTCCACCAAGAAGAAAGGATCAGAAGGTCTGGCTGACAGTAATCCAGTAGATACCTTCATACAGCACACTAAATTGTAATAAGGAGACCACCGATGTTGGGATCCGCCCTCTTTTATGCCGTGGGGAACAGATCCGGAGTTTCTGCTTTTAACCCAACACTGCAACATCCAAACTTAGAAAACAGTCATTTATACTTGAAATCCACCAAGTGAAAAACCCAGGCGATATTGCACCAATTTTGCATTTGGGAAAATATTATACGAACTTTTTCCCTCTGTTTCCCGGAATGTTAAGAGTCTAGGATCACAGACCACTGCTAAAGAGATGAATATCCAGAAGCGATTACCAAAAACAAAAAGGACAGATTTTGGAATCTGTCCATAAGTCAATAAAAGGAATTTGCAGCCATATCAGATAGGAATGACCAGCAATTTGGAAGATTTTTTAAAGAGGGTTCAACAACTTCATGGAATAGTCATCTGGGGCTGCAGTGGCTCAGCGGTTAAAGACACTGAGCTTGTCAGCTGAAAAGCTGACAGCCCGAGTTCAAGATCCGAGCATCACACAATGGGTTGAACTCCCATTCCCATTCCCAGCTCTTGCCCACCTAGCAGCTGAAAAGCATGCAACTGCGAGTAGATAAATAGGTACCACTTTGGTGGGAAGGTAACAGCGTTCCGTGCGCCTCAGTGCATAGTCATGCTGGCCAAATGGCCACAGAAGTGTCTTCAGACAACGCTGGTTCTCTTGGCTAAGAAACAGAGATGAGGCCTAGATTCGGACACAACTGGACAGGGAAACCTACTCCTCAAACTGAGTTGCCAGAAAGAATGAAACTGAGATGTGAGGGCAGTTGTGTTCCATTTGTGGATCTCCCAGAGTTGGGAGTCTGAGGCTCATCATGGCTCCTGTATACACCAAAAAGCTACATTTCTCCCCTTATCTCTAAAATAGACCAATGTGGCCCATTAGAACATCTCAGTGCTACTCCGAACATTTCAGCCCACCCACCAAGCAGCAATGAGCCGTTAAGTGCTGCCAACAGAGGAAGAAGCGATCATCGCAGTAACAGGAAGAATTGTGACCTACATTAAAGTTGACTTCCCAGACACTTATAAATCATGTACTACTTCCTATGTACAGATTAATCAACCTTATTCTTTTCCCCTGCTCACTGGCTGCCTTTGCTGGAATCTCTGTGGATGGACTGCAGGCCGTCCATGGGAAGGTCTAAAGAGTTGGCTGGATCCAGCCTTTCTCCTTCAGCTGTTCTTCTTCACAGCTCTGGCCTTAATGTTCCAGGCAAAATACTAAGGGTGTGTTTGTTTTCTTCAAGGCCAAAACGATGCTGAAGGCTGTTCCACTTCATCAAAATAAGAAGGACCCCATTTACCCTTTTAAGATTATTGGAACTTCACTTCCTTCTCTCCAGGACATGGCATCTAAGCGATGCTTGAGCAGGGTCCGCAGGATTGTCTGGGATGCTACACATCCTCTCCGTGACTAGTTTCCTTTGTTACCTTCTGGGAGGAGGCTTTGTGGTATCCGAAGCAAAACACCTAGATTCAGTCACAGTTTTGTTCCATATAGTATCAACCTTGTGAACTCTCAGGTCTCTTTTTTCCGCTATGTATTCAAAATGGACTGTGGTTAATATATATTAAGGAGAAACTTCCTGACAGTGAGGACAATTAACCAGTGGAACAGCTTGCCTCCAGAAATCATGGGGTGCTCCATCAATGGAGATTTTTAAGAAGAGGCTAGACAGTCACTTGTCTAAGATGGTATAGGTCCGTGGTGGCGAACTTGTGGCACGCGGAGCCTTCTCTGTGGGCACACGCGCCCTCACCCCAGTCCTAGGCCTTCAGCTGGGTTTTATAAAACCTTTTCGCTTTAGACCTCCACCGCCGTGTGCAAAAAAAAAAGGTTCAATCAATCAATCAATTTCAACTTCTTGCGGGAAAAAAAAGATCTTGCAAAGTTGGAATTGATTGATTGAACTTTTTAGTCCTACCCAGTCTGCCATTACCACCGTAGCCACGCCCAGCCAATTGGCCACACCCAGACAATGGGCCACACCTAGCCAATGGGCCACGCCCACCCAGCACCCGACGATACATAAGTGGGTTTTGGGTTGCAGTTTGGGCACTCGGTCTCTAAAAGGTTCGCCATCACTGGTATAGGTTCTCCTGCTTGAGCAGGGGGCTGGACTAGAAGACCTCCAAGGTCCCTTCCAGCTCTATTCTATTCTATTCTATTCTATCCTATCCTATCCTATCCTATCCTTGTGTGTGTGTATGTGTATATGTATGCATGTATAATATACACATATATAGCATATGTGTGTGCATGTATGTGCATGGTTATATATTTATTTTCTTTTGAGAGTGGGCATCAGAATTTCATTTTTTAATGTGTGCAAGTGTGTTCACAGAAAAAAGCGACATTAATAGGGTTATCTCATCTCATCTTACCCGTGCCCCTTTCTCCGGGAAGCACTTGCAGCCGGCTGTACAATCGCGGCCCCCACAGATTCCATGATAAAATTTCTTCCCGCCCTGTAAAAAAAAGGAAACAAGAACAAACATTAGCAACTTGGCACCTTTAATCCTAATTCATCTTCCTCCGAAAAACATTCATTTGATGACCATTTGGACAAGTTCTATTCAGTTGCAAAATCTGGCTTGTCCTACACTGGACACCCAACCTCAGCTTGTAATAAAGCAAAAAATAGATCTGGCCTCTTCTCCTCACTGGAAAAGCCAGAGTTGTGGGCTTCCACTTGTCAAAAATGAGTCAATGAAATATAATACCATTTATTCAAACTCGACCAATATAAATCGCACAGTATCTCCCAAAACCTCCTAGTGGTTTTGCAGAAAAAGATGCAGAAAAACATCATTATCCTAGACCCCTGAATCCTAAAACATTAAAATCCAAAATAATCAATTATAAAATGGCAAAATATTGGAAACAGCAATAGCACTTAGACTTATATACTGCTTCATAGTGTTTTGCGACCCTCTTCAAGTGGTTTACAGAGTCAGCATATTTGCCCCCAACAATCTGGGTCGTCATTTTACCGACCTCAGAAGGACGGCAGGCTGAGTCAGCCTTGAGCCGATCAGGATCGAACTGCTGGCAGTGGGCAGAGTCAGCCTGCAATACTGCATTCTAACCACTGTGCCACCAGAGCTCATGCACGTAAGTAACTTTGGGCACATAAGTGACATTTAGCGTCACATTTGTTGTTGTTCTTAGTTGCGAAGTCATGTCCGACCCATCGCGATCCCATGGACAACGTTCCTCCAGGCCTTCCTGTCCTCCACCATCTTCTGGAGTCCATTTAAGCTCAGGCCTACTGCTTCAGGGACTCCACCCAGCCACCTCATTCTCTGTCGTCCCATTCTTCTTTTGCCCCCAATCTTTCCCAGCATCAGGCTCTTCTCCGGTGAGTCCTTCCTTCTCATTAGGTGGCCAAAGTGCTTGAGTTTCAACTTCAGGATCTGGCCTTCTAAAGAGCAGTCGGGGTTGATCTCCAGGGGACTCGCAGGAGTCTTCTCCAGCATCACATTGCGTGGATTTTATTCCTTTCTACCTGGTGCATTACAAGGAGAGCCACATATTTGACCCAATGCTAATATATTCTTTGGTCCTGTAGCACAGCCAGAATTGCATTTCTTTAATTGTTGCAGCAAGGGAGAATATATTAATCTAATTTAGATTTTGCATCTGGGACTCCAGCTATCTTTCTTCAGCTACCAACACCTCTCTCCAAAGATTGACTGGGTTTCTAAAATATTAGATCATCTCAAGCAGAGCAACTACTTTAAATCAACCATGTCTAAACTTAAGTCTGAGCACAGAATTCATTTTGAAAAATAAGGAAACGCGTCCTATAAAATACCACTTTCCTACGCCACTTCTAACTTTCTTCTGCTTTGCTCGTCCAAAAAGGTCAACCTGCTCACTTGTGAATGAATGAAATCTGAGCAGGGAGGAAGTGCAATGGGGTCAGTTGGCAAAAAACCAGGTGTTGCCTGTCACACAAGCACTTTATTTACGGAAGACGCTCCTGTGGGCCCTGCTAAGTGACTGAAACAGCAGGTTAAAGCATGCAGTAATCAAAATCAGCTTTTGACTTTCTGGAAGGGAAATCCCACAATTTCTCTTTTTGGAATCAGTACAGCTATCATCAATTTAAAAGAATGGGCTCCTTTGACTCTAGTTAGGAGTTAAGATCCCTACTTAACACCCCAGCAACAAGATATGATAGAAATCAGAACAATACAGGATTTTCACCAAGAACTATAACTGGACACTTAACTAGGATGCATTTTAAGACGAGTAAACCCACAAAGGAGAAGAGCCTAATGCTGGGAAAGATGGAGGGCAATAGAAGAATGGGACGACATAGAATGAGGTGGATGGAGGGAGTCACTGAAGCAGGAGGCGTGAGCTTAAATGGACTCCAGAAGATGGTAGAGGACAGGAAGGCCTGGAGGAACGTTGTCCATGGGGTTGCGATGGGTCGGACACAACTTCGCAACTAACAACAACAAATATTTGAGAGGCTGCCACAAATAAGAGGAAGTTAAGCTATTCTCCAAAGCACCTGAAGGCAGGAGAAGAAGCAATGGATGGAAATGAATCAAGGAGAGAAGCAACCTAGAACTAAGGAGAAACTTCCTGACAGTTAGAACAATTAACCAGTGGAACAACCTGCTTCCAGAAGCGGTGAATGCTCTGACACTGGAAGTTTTTAAGAAGAGACTGGACAGCCATTTGTCTGAAATGGTATAAGGTTTTCTGCCTGAGCAGGGGGTTGGACTAGATCAGTGATGGCAAACCTTTTAGAGACCGAGTGCCCAAACTGCAACCCCAAACCCACTTATGCTTCATCGAGTGCCGGGTGGGTGTGGCCCATTGGCTGGGTGTGGCTGCGGTGGAAACGGCAGACTGGGTGGGACTAAAAGTTCAATCAATCGATTCCAACTTGCAAGATCTTTTTTTTTCCCATGAGAAGTTGAAATTGATTGAACCTTTTTTTTTTTTTGCACACGGCGGTGGAGGCCTAAAGTGAAAAGGTTTTATAAAACCCAGCTGAAGGCCTAGGACTGGGGCAACGGTGCATGTGCCCACAGAGAGGGCTCTGAGTGCCGCCTCTGGCACCCGTGCCATAGGTTCGCCACCACTGGACTAGATGATCTCCAAGGTCCCTTCCAACTTTTTATTATTATTATTATTATTATTATTATTATTATTATTATTATTATTATTATTATTATTATTATTAT